GGCATAGTTAGTTAGATTGGGGTCTTCAGATCTTCAGATATGAAACTCGTTGGAACAGATACTAACACTTGATCGGGGCGGGGAGGCGGGGGGGCGGTGTAATCAGTTAGACTGGGGTCTCTCTCACGCACATGTGTGCACGTGTTTTTTTTTTTTTTTTAAAGTGGTCGGGATGAACCACGGATCAGAAGCTCTCTCTTTATCTCTCCAGTGGCGTCATACGGCTATCGTTGACTACTAGAGCCTCTGCACGGAACTCTATAGAAGAATGCCTCCTGAGGCTGAGGCCGACCAGCTATAAATAGTGCTGGTCCGGCCTCAGCTGTGCCTCGAACTCAAAACCTGGCGCCTAAGTCCCCCAGAAGCTCTCTCTTTATCTCTCTCAGTGGCGTCATACGGCTATCGTTGACTACTAGAGCCTCTACACGGAACTCTATAGAAGAATGCCTCCTGAGGATGAGGCCGACCAGCTATAAATAGTGCTAGTCCGGCCTCAGCTGTGCCTCGAACTCAAAACCTGGCGCCTAAACTGGCGCCCAAACTGAGGCTGGGCCTCAACTGCCAGTGCCTCAAGAAACGGCATGGCCTCCAGGGTCTAGCGCCAAAACGTGTGCCGGGGCCTGTCTTCCTGTTTGGGCCTACCGACCTACGGGGCCCTGACTGGGCCAAAACGACACAGGGCCTAACCGGTCCTAGAAGTGCCCCCTATCCGTCCCCTAGCCTATCTTGTCGGGCCTGTCGGGCTTGCAGGGCCCGTGTGGACTCATAATGCCACAATTGGGGTCTCTCTCCCTCACATGCGCATGCACGTACGTGAGAGCGAGCGAGCACGAGAGAGAGAGAGAGAGAGAGAGAGAGAGAGAGAGAGAGAGAGAGAGAGAGAGAGAGAGAGAGAGAGATCCCAACCTAACTAACTACGCCCCCCCCCCCAAAAAAAAACACGATAAAGTGCAGTATCTGTTCCGAACATATCTGATCCATGCTCCATCGGGACCCCTTTTGGCATGTGCACAAGAGAGAGAGAGAGAGAGAGAGAGAGAGAGAGAGAGAGAGAGAGAGAGAGAGAGAGAGAGAGATGCAAGGAAAGAGCAATAGACAGAAAGCCAAGTTGCAAAATCACGAAGTCGTCCATTAAGTCATGTACCAAGCAGAAAGCACAAATGAACCAAGATACCAATCAAATAAGAGCAATACAATAAACTCGAGTGCCAATGTCGACGCTCTTTGGTCACATTAACACTGTATCCAATGTCACTCCTATTGTCTGGCACTCAGCGGCCAGCCTACACTAGTCAGCCTATCTGGCCTATCCAAGTCTATGCAACTGGCACACATCGAAGTCAAAGACCAATGTACGTGACGTCAACACCAATGCCGACCCCCAGCAGACACTAGGTACATTCTCTCTCCTCCCCTCATCACCCGTTGGTTCCTCTCTGCATGTGCCTCCTACCTGAAGACCAACATCGCTCTCACCTGCACCCGCACGCTCAACCCGACTATGGCTGCTGTGCGCTCTCTCACCACTTGTGGCTGCGTGGGCCTGGCCTGGCCACATAGCGCAGCTTCGCATGGCATAGCAGCAGCGTGGCCGCATTGCCTGCTCAGGCCAGAATATCCTTCCCAGGGGGTGCACACACTGCTGGCTGGCCTGGCCAGGTGTGTAGGGGCCCAACAACTTCAGTCTGGCCCGAAGTGTCTGCGCCCAGGCCCAGTTTCAGATACCAGGCTACGCCTCCTGCAGTTAGGCACGTTCAGGCAGCCACCCAGCCTCCAAGTGTTCATAGCATTCTCATTGGCTCGCGGTGCATGTGTTACGACAATGTTGCCTTCTCATTGGCCTGCGGCCAGTCTGTGATGTGTCGGCCTCACACTGAATGTGCCAAGGGCACAACCGCCTGAGCCCTGGGGTCAACTGTACAACGCGGCCCTTGCTTCTGGAACCAACTGGCGCGCTGAAATTGTCCGATACCATATGTATGGAGAATGTCGAAAGTTGGCCTCACGTGGATATTAAGGCCAACATTCACTTAGGGCGGGCACAAGGTTGCTGGGGGCCGCGGCCCAAAACACTTGCATGTCCGATAAGGGCCCTACAAGGGCTCATTCCTTGCATTCCATCTCCCTTAGCTTTGAGAGTCCGCTGAGTAGTCATGGAAGATCCTATTCATGGCATGCTGGAATGTCCCGGGGGCATTGCAAGGGCCGAAAGGCATCACCACAAACTTGTACAAATCGTACCGGGTTTGGAATGCGGTTTTGTGCTGATCCTCCCGTCTAATGGCAATTTGACCGTAGCTGGACTTCAAATCTATCTTAGTGAAGTACTTAGATCCCTGCACCCTATCCAATAGGTCGTCGATGCGAGGTAGAGGCTCTGCGTTCTTATCAGTGATTGCATTGAGGCCTCTATAATCAATGCACATCTTAATGACCCCCCCTTCTTCGGAACGAATAGTACTGGTGAGCCGAGATGGGAAGTGCTACGCCAAATCCAACCCTTCTCAGTGAGCTCGTTCAATTGCCGATGAAGCTCGTTCAACTCGGCCGAAGTCATCCTATAGATCCTCCCCTTTGGTGTTTTACTAACTGGAATTACCTCTATGGCGTGCCCAACCTCCCCGTCTTCAACTCCTGAAGGCTTCTCAAACAGATCAGGGTACTTAGCAACGATAACTTCTATCTCTGGGGTGATTTAACAGCCTTCCCTTTCTCAAAGACAAAGACTAAGTGCATACCCTCCTCGTGGTTTCTCTATACATACTAAAGCAAGCAAAGGGTCTGGCGACATGGTCGGCCGTGGGCCCAACGGAAACCGCTTGGGACACCGCGGTCGGAAGGAGGTGTCGACCGTCGGGGGGGGCAGGGAAAAGCGAAGAAGGCAAGGGGCGGAGGGCCGAGCCGACGCGGGGGAACCGGCCCAGGGCTGAGGCCCGCGCAGAGACTGGCGGGGAAAGTAGCGGGCAGGGAAAAGCAAAGCGGGCAAGGGGCGGAGGGCTGAGCCCTGGGCGTACATGGAGAGCAAAATGAACGTCATGCAGGACACCCTGGACCGGATTTTGCAGGCAGTACAAAGGCCTGGGATCCGAACAACAACTTTGCCATCACTTCCATTATCAGCGATGACAGGCCCCTATGCCGCTCAGTCTGGACAGCAACCAAGAGGTACATTAGCAGCAGCTCTATCTCAGACTGTTGCTTCTTCATCTTCTGGTCCAGCGATTGGAGCTACACCACAGTCGCCACCTGTCCCGCCAGCGAGATAGCAATTACCTTGGTCCCCCAAGACCCCCCTGAAACCACTTCCAACCTTCTCGGGAGCAAGAAGAATGAGGCTCTCGACACGTGGTTGAGAACGGTGCCAGTGTGGGTGAGGGCAAAGAGGACATTGGTAGAGGAGGAAGTGATTACTGTTGCATCCTACTTAGAGGGTTCAACAACTCGCTGGCTAAATGGATTGGTAGCTTCAAAGGGTTTCGACAGAAACATGGGTGATTGGGCTCAGACCCACACCCTAGAAAGCTTTATGGATTTAGCGGAGGCTCGATGGCACAACCCTCAGCAGGCGCAGATTGCCACTGATGGGCTATTGAAACTTGACTCTAGGAAGTACAATTCAGTGTGAGAGCTCACCACGCCCATAGAGCGTCTGATTGTCGTTCCAGGAGTGGAGTACAATCCACATGTCTTATTGACCATGTTCTTGAGATGGCTTCCCACAGACATCAAGAACTTATTAGCATGTGAGGCTCATCGAGAGTATCACACCTTTGAGACATTCAGCAAGAAGGCCCTAGACTTAAGAGGCTACGCTGGGTGGTGCTCAAATCCTCACTACGGACGGAAGAAAGAAGAAGACTACACAGGAATGGAAGAAGAAGGGTAGTCGGTTGATGATGGTTGATTCCGATGGGAATCAAATTGAGATCGATGATGTTTCTGAGCTTGTGGAGGGATCAAAGTTGGACGGCGAGGAGAGTGCTAAGGGTAGCAACCTCGCCGCTGTAGT